AGCTTCCTTTTCGGGTGTCTTCTCCCTCTGTAGTTCTTCCTCGTACCCGGGCCACACGCTGGGCGCCAAATATCCGGGCCAGCCAGGCAGATCAACGCGGTACCCGGGGGAGGAAGCAGGGGCTTGTTATGGGACAGGTGTACGTGAGGAGTGGAGACAAAGCCAGGATCATCGCCAGTCTCATTTATTCGGGAATGTGTACAAGGTTATATAGGGTTCAGAGGAGGAGGTCTCTCGTTATCTCGAACAAGGAGAGACCACCAATGGAAACAAGCCACAAGGAGCAAGCAGGGGGAAGGGGTCAGTCGTCACAATAGGAAACTTGAAACCTTCCCTCGAGCTAACATTCAGTACCTGCTTCAGGCAAGTACCCGGATGTTCAGGTCTGGGCCCCAGGTCTGGGCCCCGACACCAGCCTACCGGCCCCCCAGTGCCCCTGCCTGCCATGTACCTGGTAATCCCAATAAAAACCTGCAAAACCACTGAGGACTCTGACTCCTTTACCCAGTCTGCTGGATCATAGAAAACCTACACTGTGTCCAGTCCTGCCATCTACAAATGTCTAACCTGGGTGGTGGGATATCTGTGCAACAATGTGAACATAGTTAATGCCATAAAATTCCTGGATTAAAAATATCTAGTGTGAGATATTATGTATATTTTATAACAATGAAAACAACCATAATTCTGACACATTTGCAACACACTTCAGTATAAGAAAGGAATCTGGAGGCACAGGGAATGTCAGGCAAAGTTCTACACAGATTTACAACCAAATTATCACTAAAAAAAGGTAATAACCAGGCCTCCCTGGTGACCTAGTGATTAAATCGGGGAACTATAATGACTAAGGCCTGAGTTTCATCCCCATCCAGGGAGCTGACCCTCATGGCACAGCTGAGCTCTCCTGCCTCGCCTGCTGCTCCTGAAACAGTGTCTTCAGTCCTTCTGCCTGTTCTGCTGCTCCCTGCTGTGTCTCTGGTGAATTCTCTCATCCTCCCGCACCTCTGACTGTTCCCCAGTTCTAGTATAAATAAATATTTTTTAAAAAAGCAGCACCTGCTAATAAACAGTGAGGTTTCTGAGCTTCAGAGGGAAGGGAAGGGTAATGAGGTAAAAGGGATGAGGTTGGGGAAAATTAGTATCAGGTAGAGACAGGCATTACGAATAAAAGGCTGTGAAAGTGGTGAGTGTAGATGGGGGTGCATTATAGACAGTACCTGAGAAGGGTCCCCTGAGAATATTATTTCACAATGAAGGGCAGAACCTCAGGTGCAAAAGCCCCACGGTGACAGTGTTTGTCTTGATCATACAGTATCAATAAAGCCTGTGGGGAAACAGGCACTACATGAAGCCATAAAGCTGAAATGCTGGCCTGTTCTTCTCAGGGTTGTCACATGATCCAAGTAAATTCATAATAAAATATCATCTGTCCCTTCGGCTGAAAGCCACTCAAGAAGTCCCCTCCAAGTCCACAAACACTTCCACTTTTAAGCTCACCCTTAAGCCAACAAACTACGGGGGGCGGGGGCATAACAAGAACGCACAAACGCACCACCCCCTCAGTACAGGGGCCCCCAGAAAGGCCGCAGACAGGAGTCGTCGTGTGCCGAGGTCCAGGCAGTGGAGGCAGGACAAAGGGATAGCGGCGGGAAAGGGAGAGGGGATGGAAAAAGCCACATCACACAGGTGGGGCAGGTGATGCAAGGTAAAGTGATGAAATGGAGGATTCTAACCCGGGAAAACTTTAAAAACTTCAAAAACTGAGACTTGGGATTTTAATCCTAGGAAAAGTGAGTGGCTGGACCCGAAGCCCTGCTGTTCAGACAAGAGGGGCATCTGCTCTGCCCGCTGGGATGGACTGAGCTGCCTCCCTGGAGGCGCTGCTGGGGTTCAAGCTCCGCCTCTGAGAAGCCCGAGGGGAACCCCATGCTGGCGGGTTAACCCTCCTCTGTGGCCTCCAGAGCCTGGGGTTTGAGGAGCCGCCTCCTCTGCGGGGCCGAGGCCTGGACGGCGGGTCCAGCTGCTCAGACTGGGGGTCGGGCTGTGGCTTCCCTCCTGCCTGCAAGACGCGGGCCGGGGAGGGGGTGTCACCCCGAAAATCTTAGTCTGTGCCAAGGACATCATCACCCACAGTGACAGCCACGCCGGCCGAAGCAATCTCATGCTGGGAGCAACTCGGGGGACCCACGTCCATCAGGGGGTCCCACTCAGGCATGAAACCGATCCCCTGCACGACCGTGTGAACCCCAAAGAGCCCCCAGTCCTCCGCACCAGCGCCCCCGTCCTCTCACCGGACCCTCCGGTCAGCCGCCCAGGGAGACACGCTCACCTCCCGCCCCCGGCTCACCTCGTCCTCCCGCGATGCGCCGGGCCCGCGGGGTCCTGAGGGGCGGTGCCCGCAGCGCCAACTTCCCGAGCCCCGGGACGCCAGGGACACCGGAGGGGGCGGCCGGGAGCCACGCATGGGGAGCGCACAGGTGGGCGGGTTGGTGGGCCGGACACACCTGGGCGCGCCCGTGTCCACGCCTCCACCGCGGCCGGCATTTCTGGATTCAGAGACCAGGGCCAGTAGCCGCGTCGCCCAAAATAATGTCGGCAGAGCTCGGAGCCCCGAAAGGCGGGACGCGTCTGCTTGGAGTTAAAGACTCGCACCTGCTCCTCCGTCACGCCCTCCTGGGCACCGTCCCCATCCTGCCGCCCCGCCCCCCGCTCCGCCTCCTGCTCCCGCCCCGCCCCCTCCTTGCTCGCCCCCTCCTTGCCAGCCCCGCACCGGCGCCGCCATCACACTCTCCCGGTGCCCGCTTCACGGCCTCCCCGCCAGGGGGCGCCCGCGGAGCTCAGCCTCTGTCCCCGGGCCCCTCCCTGTTCCTCTGCCCCATTCACGGGCTGCCCTCTGAGGGCTGCACCTCGGCCCATGGACATGCGGTGAGTCCTCACCCATTCCCGAGGGTTTCCACGCAGATGTTTCCAACTATTTGTTACTATAAGCAGGTGCTGGTCAACACTGTCACACGTACAGATTTGTACCAGTATTTCAGCCTTTCCTTAGGTCATTTCCAAAAATATAGAATTACCAACACAGGCAGAATAAATAGCCTAAATTCACGGTTGTCTGCAGAATAGCGGAACAGTGATTCTTTCCTCAGGAATGAATGAAAGTACATATTTCACCTCACCCTTGCCAACAGTTCATTCCGTCTACTGGTCAGTCTTCAAGCTTCTGATGCTACCTTTGCACTAGAAACAAGTACACGAAGGGCTTCATTAGGAATAGGATATAAAAACTTTGCACTCCCCAATAAGGAACAGCATTAGCTCTGTACTACTAGCAAATGAAAAAAAAAAAAAAAAGAGCAATCTCAAAGTTCAGGAAGTAAAATAAAAGGGTAAAGAAATAAAAAGCAGGTGTTTTCCTTAATCATCATGAAATTTTAATGCCACAGGTAATTATCCATTGATGCACTATATTTATTCAACACACATAGACAAACACAAATAAAACCTTCCCTCTATCTCCAAGAATCAGTTTTCACCCTACTCCAGTCTCTACGGCCACTACTGAGAATGTCTTGATGATAGAATATGCAGGATTGGAGGAAGGTACTTCAGTATTCCTTGAAGCACCCAAAGCAAGCGAGGAACGAGAACACACATGGGTCTAATGAAAAAACAAACAAACAAACTTGTGTTGAGTCAGCACACTCTGGAAACAGCCTGAGCTAAGAGCAGGAAGAGCAACTGGCAGGGCTAGTAAGTGTCATGAAAGTGGCCACCTCAGGGGAGATGAACCAGCAGTGCCCACCTGGATCTATTGAGTAGGGGGAAGAATCTAGGTACACACTCACCTTCATAGCATAGCAAAGAGTTTCTGCACGGTAGTCAGGCACATTTCAAAAATATTTCATTGAGAGAATAAATCATATGATTATCAGATTCTATCCTCCTAGGACAAGGACTAGACAGCTACAAGTCAAAAGCTGTCTCATGCTTATAGCTCTGCTGATACCAAGGTGTAAGAGGAACATGGCTGAAGGGCTGCTCGTTGGTTGGCTGACCTGGTCTGCTGCTCACCAAGAATCATCTCAAACACCTGAGTTTTCCTTCTGGCTCTGAGTTCTACATAGTAAGGCATATAGGACAAGGCACTGACCTCTCAATGCACTTTGGTTCATGAGCACACAGGCTCCAGCAGTTTTGGCAGCCAGGGCTGTAACCCACAAACTTCTTCATCCCCAACCAGTTATATAAAACCTGCAAGGTTTCATTCCAAGACATTGAAGTGAACCATACACAATAAGCACTCCTTCTATCCCTCGATGATCTTCCTGCAATTCTAATGAAGTTAACTTCTCCGTATTCTTTAATATCTGTGGTTCACACCGGGCCACTTAAGGCTTACTCATTTCAGTAAAAACACCCAGCTACACTGCTAACAGAAAGGAATATCTTCCCTGAACATGGACATAGCATTTGTATGTTAGGGATGCTCAGACCTCAGCCTGCTTAGTTCATATCAAAATTATTTATATAAAAAGTATAATCTTTGAACTGTTAGTATTATTCTTGTTCCATTTCAGTGCTTAAGGAAAAAAGGCACCTGACACTGCAAATATCATGGTCTTTCTGTGTACACTAATGCTGAATATGCACCCTACAAGTTTTTTTTCTATAAAATTCATTAACTGCAGACCCAGGTCAAAGGCTACTTTTAGTATTGGTACATGTATGTCCTTAGCTTATTTTACACAAGTGGAAACCATGAAAACTCAGCACCAAATATTGGGAACAAACAGAACAGGAGGCTCACTCTAAAACCATCAGAATGAAGTGACCACTGAGGATGTCCAAGCAATAGCACATGCATTATCCTGGGCTCAGAGAGAACATAATACCACAGTCACCCACACAGACTCATTCCCAATTATTCCAGATTATTTGGAAAATTAGCTATTATGATATTCTAAATTATTAAATCTGAAATTCAATGATAACTACATCTTCCATTATACCAAAGATGCCAATTTTTCAATTGGATTCAAACTGCAAAATCTGCATCTAAAGAATACTACCAATTCTACAGTTCTCAGAGAGAACATTTACAAGTCTCTGAGACAATGCCCACAATCGCATTCATAATGAAAATATTTTTCATTCACCTTCATATATAACTTTTAAATATTTATAATTGTATTTCATAACATTAAAATGATTTAACAAATAATTGTGCTTATCCAATATCAAAACAAACTTTGAGAGCCTCCCTGGTAACCTAGGGCTTACGTCTCAGCACTATCACCACAGTGGCCCACAAGATTGCCTGATTTCGATCCCCAGCCAGGGAGCTGACCCACATAGGGCACAGCAGACATATCCTGTCTTGCCTGCTGCTCCCTTGAGCAGTGTATTTCAGTAGATCTGTCTGTTCTGATCCACACTCTATCTCTGGTGAATCCTCTCATCCCCCCACACCTCTGGCCTACACTCCAGTGCTTCTACACAAAAATAAACCAAATATTTAAATAGAAGGAAAAACAAAATTTGAATTAGAAAGTGGCAGAGTTCTTGTATGCATAAGTAAATACAAATGCATAAATAGAAAAAAAAATCTAAAATAGCAACAATGATTCAAATCAACAAAGCACAGCAATGGTACCATCATCCCAAATGTTGACAGTAGTGTCCAGTTTGGGGAGCGAAAGGATCAGAGTGTTGCCAGGGAGTATTGGCTTCCTCACTGTGGACACATGGATTACAGCCTGAGGAACAATTTAGCCAGAAGTCAAGTCATATGTGTTTCCTCTGTAGCTTTTCAATAACATAATCAGAACTAAATCCCCTATTTTCTACTTACCACTGTCTTACAACTGATATTCATCCAATGGTAGCTATAAGGTTTTTAAATTTTTAAAAGGCCACAATAAATTTTAAGAAGGCTGTGTGTATAGCACAGTCCCTGGCAGACAGCAAGCACTTGGCTAACCCTTGTTCACTACTTTGTGTGTTCATAGAACTTTCTATCATGGAAAAGAAAACACACTCCCCCGTGCTGACATAACCGCTGCAGGAGGCCTTGTTGCCCCAGCCAGATAAAATACTGGCAAGCAGTGAAGCACAAAGGGCCTCACACCGTGGGGCCAAAGCTAAAGGGCCTCACACCGTGGGGCCGAAGATTCCTTGTGCCTCACACCGTGGGGCTGAAGATCTAACATCCCTTCACTTTTTGTTCTTGGGCATAAAAGGAGAAAAATTTCCCAAAAAGTACATCAGGCACTACATTATATGCATCAGTATACTGCAAATAAATGGCACAGAAAATTATCTCTTAAAAACTAATTATTAAACAATTTGGCTCACTTGACAATGGGAGATGGTTTATTGAACATGTCTGACAAGCATTACAATACAACTATTATTTTAAGTCCTTCTTTTGCCTTCCCTTGAAGTTTCTTGGGAAAGTTCTTAAATGAAGCTATTTGAGTTAAGGAGTTTCTAGGTAGAGGAAGTTCTGATAGCTGAGTAGCAGCCGGCCCCTGGTATGAAGGCCATGAGAATAAGAAAAGTTTTTTCTTTGCTTAGGCTTTAGCTGGTAGAGATGTACAGGTGGCTTTCAATTGATTTAGGTTATTGTTTAGCTGAAACAATGAATTTTAGTGTAAGACTTAGTTTTTTATTAACCTTGAAGGTTGCCTTCTTGCTGAGAGCACAGAAAAAGAGATGCACTAATTGTTTCTGCTTTGTTTCTATGCACTTGATAATGTAATCGCAATGCTTGCAAAAAATTTATAAATAAAGAACCTGCTGAAACTTTCGGCAGAAGATACTAACACCTCACCAAGTGTCGGTTTCTCCTCATTCCCTTCCCCTCAGTCCCTAAGTTTCAGTTCATTCGTTTTCACTGAGGCCGTCTCATCCTTTCAGGAACCCCTGACACGGTATTTTGCCGGAGGCTAGTCCCCGGCACATAACTGATGAAAAATTTATGCACAGACGTCATCATTAAGTTGTAGTCCACTTATCCAGGGGTGTATACTTTATTAAATCCCAAAGAATCATTCTAAGAAGTGTGTATAAAGGCATCCCCCATCCTGCTTGCTTCACATTTTCACACCTGTCAGATAACCTCTTTTAACAAATTGAAGGTGTGTGGTGGCCTTGACTGTGGTAAGTCCAGCAGCACTATTTTCCAAAAAAAAGTATATACTCACCTCATGTCTCAATGATATCTCATTAGGGTATTTTCACATTAGACAAAATATCATTGCACACTTAATAGTAAACACTACAGGTTAAAAAAAATTATTCGCACTAGGAAAGCAACAAAAAAATAGTGACTTGATTTATGCAATATTAGGTTTGTTGTGGTATTCAGGAAATGAACCAAAAATATCTCCAAGGTGTGCCTGCACTACCTTTTATTTGGTGCAGTGTAAGTATACCAATTAAATAAAAAAAAATATTTTGCTAAGGCTGCTGTTTGGAGCTGGCTCTATGCCCACTATGGCAAATCTAATGAAGGTGATCACAGCTGGTTCTGGAATAGAGAAATGTTTGTCACAATATGTTTAAGGACATGTATCACAATGAACTGGACCTATTTTATCTCCATAGAATTGTTTAGCATATTGTTTATATCCAAAAGACAATTTAAAAGTGAAGGTAAGTACAGGACAGTTCACAGACATAAGCAAAAGAAAGAGATGCAAACAAAAACGTTTGTGAAAAGAAACACCCGCACAGTCATAGGCAGGCAGGAGAGCTGCCCACATCTTCAGGTTATCTTTTTTATCTTTCTTTTAAAGACATATTTATTTTTTTATACAAGCACTGGGTACAGTCAAAATTGCGGGAGAGATTCTGTGAGAGAATCCACCTGTACAGGAGCAGAACAGGCAGACTGATGAAATATACTGCTGAGGGGAGTAGCGGGCAGGCAGGAAAGTTCGGTGCACCATTTGGGACCATTGCCCGCTGACCGGGGATCAAACCAGTGCTACAGAAGCTGCAGACAGCTTCGCAGCCCAGTGTTCAACTGCTGCGCCACCAGTGAGGCCCTCGAGATTCTCTTTTTAAAGAAGGACATATATCTTCACACTCAATTTACATTTGATTCATTGTAATGGCAAACTTAATCAAGATCATTTCAGAGAATGGATCTGTGCTCTTCATACTGAAAGAGAATTACCAAGAGTGATAGCCAAGAATCTAAACTTTAGAACTATGTAAATAACCTTTTTTAATCTAATCACAAAATGACATAAGTTCACGGAGAAATTTATCAACACAGGAAACATGAATAACAAAACAATCACCAAGAATACCAACATCCTGAGGACACTAGTCACTGTTTCTAATATGTTTCCCACTTGTATGGATTAGATAGATCAAAACATTAACAATTAAGGGGGGTCTTATCCTGAATAATATTGCAGGCGCTGCTGAGGAATCCCTTTCTTACCAATTGTTCTAGATCTCCAGGAATTCACTCTGGTAGGTACAGCAGCTAGCCTGCTGCATGGGAATAATTACAGAAAAGCCTATTTTGAAAGGCAGTCTCTTATGAGTAGCAATCACATTTGGCATTAGAGTTTTTTCTATAACTATCAAATAAATCATGTGCAATATTAAAGTCAGCATGCACATGTAACACAATTATACATTATTTTTTTTTTCATTTAACTTGAGGCTCCCTCCTTATGAAGGACCTCAAACACCCATGGAGCTGTTCTGAAGATGCACAGGGTTTCCCACAATTCTCCCCTCCCCCTGGCCTTGAGCGGGTTTACCGTTTAGCCTCATTTGACAATTTCTGATTCGGTCAAAAATATGGAGTACAAAAATCCTGTCGGGGACCAGACCTGAACATCCGGGTTCTTGCCTGAAGCAGGTACTGAATGTTAGCTCGAGTGAAGGTTTCAAGTTTCCTATTGTGACGAATGAACCCTGCCCCCTGCTTGCTCCTTGTGGCTTGTTTGCATTGGTGGTCTCTCCTTGTTCGAGATAACGAGAGACCTCCTCCTCTGAACCCTATATAACCTTGTACACATTCCTGAATAAATGAGACAGGCGATGATCCTGGCTTTGTCTCCACTCCTTGTGTACCCCTGTCCTATACCAATACCCTGCTTCCTTCCCCCGGTACCGCGCTGATCTGCCCGGCTGGTCCGGACAAAATCCCTGACCTTTGTCCTTATTTGTATGATCTTACACAAGTTCATTGTCTTTTAGAACATAGGATTTTCTACTATGGAATAGGAATAATGTCTCTATAGTGTCATCAATGAGATCACATAAGTAACCAACTTCTTGCACAGGGTCAGGTAATCTCCAACAAGTGCTCAATGAACATCAATTTATTTCTCGTGACCTGAAGAGTTCAACCTCTGTGCAAAGGAAGCATGAAAGGATGTAGGTAATATCACTTTAACAGATTATAACTATTAAAAAGTAAGTAGATTATCTACAAAATGTCCACTTTCCAGTTGAATGGGTGATTGTAGCTCATTCACTCTCTAAAACAGGAGGGATCCTCTTTGCACCAGATATCAATAGAGAAAACATCTCAAGAACTTAAGAATTGGCCCTTCAATCATGCTCAGTGAAATAAGTTAGAAAGAAAAAGAAAAATACCGGATGGTCTCCCTTATAGCAGGAATTTAGAAAACCTAAATAAGAGACCAGGAAAAAGACTAATCAATATAAAGTAAAAATCAAAATCAACAAGAAACTGTAAACCATAGACACACTGGGGGGGAGGGGCAGGGAAAGGAAGGACTAGAGTCAAAATAAGGGGGGAGGTGCAATTGTATAGGGAATATAACCAAAATGAAAATGCATACATTGTGCAAAGATGAAAAAAAAAGATGTAAGAATTATATAAAATAAAATATTTAAATAAAAAAAATCTTAAAAAAAAAGAATGGGCCCTTCAGTGTCTCAGATGATTCCCCATGAAGGATCTTCCATCCCCATTGGTGATAGCGTACAGCTGTCCCTGCTGCAGGAATCTCAGGGGTGTCCCTTAGTGATGCAGAGATGGTCACAGGTTTCAATACACTGAATAGGTTAATAATAACCATGTTAGAAAATCAAATACTTGTAGCCAGAATGTGGCAGGCCATGTTGCTCCTGGTTACTCAAGGCTCAGGAAAGCCTGGATTCTATTCAAGGGAGAGTCTAAAGTCGCCTGATAAGGCAATTTCCAGGGGTGAAATTTTCCTCTTCCAGGCTCTGAATGGCCACGTCAGCTGCACAACAGGTAAGTGACACCTCAGCCTTCACATGTTAGGCCATGACCAGCAGAGGCAGAATCTCAGAACCCATGTGAGAAATGCAGAGCCCAGGCACCACGCAACCCACTGTGTCAGAACCTGCACCCTGGGAGACTGGGACACGACTCTGCCTTCCTGCCTGCTAGACCTGGGGTGGGGAGGGAGGTGTCAGCCCCAGAAAAGTTTACAATACATTCCCCAATTACATCATAAATCTCCACAAAAATAAAACACACAGATCAATGAACAGAACAGAGAGCCCAGAAAACCCACCCCAGGGGTTGATCAGTGCAGCAGGAAGGAGCTGGGAGCACACTCGGGGGATGCACTTTCATTTTGGAGCCCCGGTCACCCACAGGGTCACACTCAGCAATATTCTGACCCCAGGAATGTCCATGTCCCTCCAGGACCCAAAATGACACGAGCAGAGCTCTCCACAACCAGCCCACCCCACCCTTGCTGCCTCATCTCCACCACTTCCACACCGTCGTCAGCAAGCAGTGATGAGACGTAAACACATAGTGGGTGGGAAAAGGCTGAGAAGGAGAGGCTCAAGGGGCAAAAACAGAAGGAATAAAACCCACAAAAAATAATGGGATAAAATAGAATGAAATTCCTGTGTTCCAAGTCTACTTGCACAACGTTGATAACCACCCTCAGTGTCCTGCCAGCCAGCAGGCTGTCATTTTCTGTCTCCCCCTAGAGCTCAAATCCTGATGATGGTAGCAGAGATTCCACAGTCAACAAAAAAAAGATGGTGGCAGCAAAATAGAGTTCCATTTTTGTGGAAGTGCTGCCGTGGGCTGACTTCCAGGCAGGCATGCCAACTGTCAATTGCTTGGGTGCAAACACTCCAATGAAAAACTGAGGAAGGATATAAAACCTCAGGGAATGACCAGTGACGTTTCAATGAACCATATGTATGCCAACAATATCTAAATCCCCTCCTTTTAAAGATTTACTTATACAAGAACCGGTGTACAGGCCAGATGTGTGGGAGGGTGGGAGGATTCACCAGAGATAGAGCAGGGAACAGAACAGAGAGACTGATGAAATACACCGCTGAGGGGAGCAGTGGGCGATACAGGAGAGGTCTGTCATCCCATGTGGGAACTTTGCTGGCTGGCTGGGATCCAAACAGTGCTGCAGAGGCTGCGGACAGCTTCACAGAGCTGTGCTCAACCGACTGCGCCACCAGGGGAGCCCTTAAAGTCCCTTCTTTTAAAGGGGGGGTTATCTTTATCTGAAAACAGTTCACCCTTAATGAATTGATGTCAGCCACCCATGAAAGAGCATCATGAAGATGCTGCAGATATCTCTTGCAGTGTCTATCCATGTACTTTATTGCTTTTGACATGGCGATTTTCAAGGTTGCTATGAAGACAAAGAATGTTCTACTATAAGCTCAACCCATCTGAACAATTTTGAAATGACACTGCATACAGACCCACAAAATGGACATCCTCACCAACATTTCCACTTAAGACCTTAAGGACACTCAAGACTTCACCACTGACCTCAGTACTTTGACACTGTCATAATCTTTGGAGGATACATGGGCTTTTTACCTCTATTTTCACCTTGAATTTCCACACGGTGGTGATGCAGCAGGAATTTGGGGCAGGTGTCACCACTCTGAGTGAGTCTTGTCCTCTCCTGTCAGGGCTCCCCCAAGACTTGGAGTGAAGTCCTGGCTTGGGCCTGAGGGACTGCGGGCTTGGAAGGGAGGGGGTGAACCTGGTCCAGCAGGACCCAGCAGGCAGCACCCTCTCCTTGGATCTGGGAAGAAGGTAAGCTGAGAAGGAAGGGAAAGTGAGGAGCCATCTCCTGAGGGTGGCCGATGGCAGAGAGGTGAGAACCTGTTAGGGAAGAACCAGGGGAGGGTGGACTAGATGTTGAACACTGGCCAGCATTGGCAGGATGCCATTTGGGCAAGGAGGACTCAGAGGTCCCTGTTTAACCATTCCTGAGCAGCCGGCTGGTTCAGATCCCACACTGATTGGGGATCCCCAGGAGACCCGTCGGCACCCTGGAAACTGTCCAACACTGTGAAGACAATGGAGATGACACCCATGGGTGGCAAGAACCTCTGTGTTCATGGCTACCAAGATGGGGGTGTGGGAGCCCAGACCCCTCAGGAGGAAGAAATGCCCAGCCACCTGGAGCGAGCAAGAACAGCTCATGGCTAGAGATTTGCCTCACTGCCTGCCAGGCATGATTTGCCACAGAGCTGTGGGGTCAGGATGAGGGGTGGTGCAGGGATCAGCCATGTCAGTCATATAGGGAGTAGTAGGTGTGATGGAGAGGGGGCAGAAAGGTGAAGGTGACAGAGGGGTGTGTGTCTGAACAGAGGGATATGGGAAGCCCCACTTAGGAGGTGGCTCTTGGAGAAGGAAGTGAGGGAAGAGGCATTTCAGGCACAGAGAACCTCAGGGTGAAAGCTCTGAGGCTCACAGGGTTTGTCTCCAGCCAAACTCTCGGACAGGCCAGCAGAAAACTCACAACACTTCCATGGAGACAGGAAAGCTGAAATACTGGCTTGTTTTTCTCATGGTTGTCATACAATCCAAGTAAAAACCATAATGAAATGACATTTTTTTCCTCTGCTGAAAGCTACTCGGGAAGTCCACTCCAATGTGGGACTCTACTCCTTAGCTTGTCTTCAAGCACATGACCGTGGAGGTAGCCAGAAAAGAAGGCCTGGGCATGCCGACCTCCTGCCTGAAAGAGGCCACCCAGAAAAGGCCACCCAGACAGGAGTTGTCTGTGTTCTCTCAACCAATCAAGGCTGTGACAGTGAGGAAGAGACTTGGGAGAATTGACCCAAAAGAACCCGAATGGCATGAGACCTGGGCACACAGGCAGGGCATATGCTGGTGGCTGAGATGGGTCTTTGGTTTGGGCGAGCAGAGGGTAACCATGACAACTGACTCACATTCTGGGCTCAGGAATCCCGAGTGTCCAGTGCAACTCATGTTGATTGAAAAACCGCCCCACCAACCCCCACCCCCGTTAGTCACCAGACAATGAATCACTCTCAGCTTGGTCCAGGCTCATACTCACCACCAAGGTCCTGTGTCATCGGGTTTATTCCACTCCCTTGCTTCTCAGGCTTAGCTTTGGTGACAAAGGAAAGGACATCATGGTCTGGACATGGGCCAGTCATCCAGCCAGTGTTGACCAATCTTCCCATCATGATACTGCCCTGCTTCCTGTCTCAGCACTTCACGACTTAGGGGTTTCCAACATCTCCCCCTTTTATGTTTGTTTGTTTGTTTGTTTTTTAATAAAGCCTTCATAGTGAATAAAGTGGTGCTGTTATTTTCACTTCCAGGGCATTTTCATATGCTTGTGGAGAGCACTCTACAGAGTAGCAGATGTCATAAACAAGAGCTAGTATAAAGAACAGCAAGATGATCCTCAAAGGTTTTACAAAATTTAACGGGTGCAAATTAGTTCCTGTACAGTAAAAATATACAAAAATAATACAATATTAAACAACATCCAAATTATAACATTGAGGATTTGTTGGAAATAGTCATTACCCAATGTCATTCAAATGTGCCATTGTGGCATTTGTGTTTTTGCTGCAATTGTGCGAATATTTGCAATAACTTATCTCTAAATTCCATGACAAGACCAAGGTTAATATGGAATGTACTATGTACCATAAAGTTGTCTTTGAATATCTGTTCAGGAGAGGTTTGCATTAAAAGGGATAGGGGTTACAGAAAATGATATCCCAACAAACCACAATTGAGTCTGTGATGTCCAGAGGACCTGTTGATGTTCACCACGTCAGCACACAGCAACCTCAAGGGCATTGAGTCTTGATCTGATGTTCCAGAGGACTGCACAATACATGGGAAGGGATTCTCTTTTTCATTTTGATTCCTATGTGTGGCATCCCAGGTGGTGGCTGTATCAATAATGGCTGGAGCTCTGGAGTAAGACTGGTCCTTTATTGCTCTAACTGAACATGGCTTTATAAGTGATAAGACAGAAACAAACCCTCTCCCCGATTTTAAATGTTTTAAAGTCCCAGCCAAATTTGTCCTTGCAACAGATGGTGATCTACAACCAATGGCCTAAGACTTGGTTCTGCTGGGATAAAATGTTGTTGTATTGCCATGAGACCAGAGGAATCAGGAATGAGCTGTTGCTCACCAGTTGCTAGGCCAAAGCATTGTCATTCAATAATTTAAATGTAAATCAAGCTCTGCATATAAGGACCTATGGGGACAAGTGATCCTCTAGACTCCTTCTTTTGTTGTTGTTGTTTTTTTTTTTTTTAAGTGCAGACCCCAGGGTGTAGCCTTAGGAGACAATATTTTGTAGGGTTTTAGGGTATGTAAAAGAAGCAATAATCAGTTACCAGTATTGTCCAGGAATGTCCAGTATGCCCGTCCTTCATGCCTGGCAATTAGTCCACGCTAAAAAGGAAAATCATGAAGAGGCATTAGGCAACACAAAACAGCAAAGATATCAAAATTGCCAGAAGAAAAAAAATTAATACCTGATGTAACTTATCTAGAAACAAGTGCCATCTATGCTGATCCCCATTCACTCCAACAATACAGCAAAATATTTGGAAACTAAATCCACTTTCAGATCATTTCACCTATTTTTGCATAACATCACAGGTCAGGATAACCAAACAGCATTTCACGCTGGCTTTGTTGGAATATGCCATATACAATCAGAGTGAAGGTGTGACATCCAGTCCCTGCAGGCTTCAGAAACAAAGTTGGTTTTATCAGCTGCCATCTGGGGTTTCTTCTTTTCGAGGTTACCATAATTTTTTTCTTGTTCCAGGATGTCCAGTCCTGCCCATGGAGGCCAGCTTCCTCACCCTCTTTGGAGGTCTCTGGAAGCTTCCATATAAAGTGGCAGGTTCTCTGCTCCTTGGTTTAGCTCAAATTTAACTTTCTGGAAAACATTTAATCAAAGTCACAAAATGAAACACGTTTCCAATTTTTAGGTGAAGCAGACAAAATTCCCTACTGAAGTCATGCAAAAATAGACTCTGTCATGAGTAGTAAACACTATGACCACTTGTTTATACTTTGCTGGTATCAAGGGGAGAGAGCATGCAAACACAAGTTAACTCCACTTTAAAAAAACAAAGTGCCACATGACTGCAGACATCAAACCAATGAAGTACATGACACTGCAGGACAACAGTCAAAATTTACAATTTGCATACCTATCAGGCACTGAAATGCTTTATGAAAGTTTCAGAAAACCAATGTTCACATTTCTGTACATGCCTAAGTTTTACATTTTATTTCACCAAGTGACCATGATTCCCTTTCAGTTTTACTTCACCAGGAAAACCAAATAGGACAAAATTTTGTAATGCCTTAACCATGAGGAAAGGGAGAAATTCCCTGAGGTGTCTTAGGAGCTACTGAGGCTCCACAAAATCTCCTCCAATCCACCAGTGACAGACTACCAATTTTTAGTTTCTTTCTTTCTTTCTTCTTTCTTTCTTTCTTTCTTTCTTTCTTTCTTTCTTTCTTTCTTTCTTTCTTTCTTTCTTTCTTTCTTTCTTTCTTTCTTTCTTTCTTTCTTTCTTTCTTTCTTTCTTCCTTCCTTCCTTCCTTCCTTCCTTCCTTCCTTCCTTCCTTCCTTCCTTCCTTCCTTCCTTCCTTCCTTCCTTCCTTCCTTCCTTCCTTCCTTCCTTCCTTCCTTCCTTCCTTCCTTCCTTCCTTCCAACCCTCGCCAGTGGCCAGGGAATGAACCAGAGCTGCAGAGGCTGCAGGCAGCCTCACAGCCCAGCGCTCAACCGCTGTGCCACCACAGGATTAAAGTTGATATTTATATACATTGACCTTGTATTCTCCAATCATGAATGAATCGGATAACCCTGAGTTTCTTGGTGGAGCTTCAGACAGGCCTCCTTCCTGGTGAGCCTGCAAGGAATTAGAGAGCACCACCAATCTTCTGGTCTGTGACGGTCTACCCAGTAGATTTTGTTTAATGTGGGGGACTCAAAACTGCTTGGTCAAAAAGCCTGCAGCGTGGGAGCCCACCCACTTGGAGAGCAGACTCTCCGGCTCAGGAAGCCCAGGCTGACAATGCTTGGATGCCTTGATTCCCTCCCTATAAATGTCTTCACAGACACAGCAAAACATGCTTTTGAAATTCAGGCTGGTGAGGGTTTATGGAAATAGAGTGGTCGGGGCCAAGTAAGTGGAAGACATTATTATTATTATTATTATTATTATTATTATTACTCTTTTTAAAGTTGCCAGCCCGGTAATGTCAGCCCAGTCAACAAATTTTAAGGCTACTGTTGACAATACACTGGGGGTAAAAATAAAATGACTAAAACTGCACACCTGTAACAGGAGCACAAGCCAACAACTCAAACACCATTTCATGATCCCTGCGGGAGGTGAGTCAGGGGCTGCGAGGCCAGAGGAGCAGTATCTAAATATGCCTGGGCGTCCAATACATGGCCCAGGGGAAAGGAGACCAGAGATGTTCCCCAAAGTCACAACAGCAAAGCAGAAGAGAAAGAGAGGAATGTTTCAGGCTCAACTCGAAGCAGGAGCACTGAATTAGTTACAAGGCAAACCCCGATATAAAATGGGGTTGCCTGACTGTGGGTACTCACCCGCATTCTTAAAGGGAACTTATTAATGCTAAACTGCAGACAGAAATAAAGGTTGATAAAATGTTTATTTACAAGGGAAGGGGAAATTGAGAAATGAATAACTCAGGGAGAAAAAGGGATAGATAAGTTCGTAAATGTGTCCTACCCGTTCCGCTGACCTGGAATCCCAATGACCCACTGAGCTGGCCTCATGGTCAAGCCAGCTACCGCCACCCAGGCCACATGGCCAGTTAAAAACCCAAACTGAGAGCCTACTTGCTTAACTCCCCCATGAGGTTCTCGCAACCTTCCCTTTGGTGATTATGGGATTTGTAGTTCCCAGTGTGGTGGGGGTAGAGTCCACAAAGCCTGTATGGAGTTTGCTCAGGACATCCTTTCCCCCTAACAGATTAACATGGTCTGGTTGTGGGGGAAGTGACAATATTGACATCTTTGAGCAGAGTTCCTCAGATATTGGCTGAATCCGGATCGCCTGGGAGTCCTGGGCTGGGCTCCATACCTCTCTCCCACCCCCAGATTTTCTGATTCAGAGATTAGGATACATGCAAACGTTTGAATTTCTGACAGTTCCCAGGTGGTGCTGATTCTACTCTAGATATTTAAAAGAGGCATGAGAAGCTCAAGGTCTCTTCCCAGCCAAGAAGAATAATGACTCCCTAAGGTTGGAAATTCCTGTGCTCAGGAAGACAGGGCATGATGCTGATGACTGCAGTGGCTGGGGGAATTGACGTCCGACCCTATTGTCCCATCTCTGTCCTGGGTTCTTGTTCTTGAATTTTCTTTCTTTGCCAACTTTTGTGATGAGAAGGCAATTTTGCCTTTGCTTCTGCAATGTGTCTGAACACAGATCTTCAAGGTTCTACCATCTTTCATGTCTTGTAAGGAGAAACATTTTTCTAAGTTAACTGAAAGCAGGAGGAAAAATCCAACATGCTCCCAACTCCCCCAGATCCCATTCCTGTTGCCTCAGTCCCAGGCTTCTTTGAGAAATATTTTTTGTTCAGTGACATCTTCTCCTTTGCAATCCATGGAAAAATGGAATTGTCTCCCCATCAGGAACACCATCCTGTAACTTCCCACATAGAAAAGTCAATTGTGGGTTCTTAATCACTTGTTACATCTGCTCTATATTAAGATCGTGACAATTTTTTCAAATCACTGGAAGACTAGAGACACTGAAACTTGCAACCAAACAGAAATTCTGGAATAAAGTTCAAAATGACTGTTTTTTATAAGATATATAGTTTTGGCTCCTTTGAAATATTAACTCTCTGAAATTAGCATTTTTGTTGGACAAATATAGTCAAATATTTCCTGCATCCTATAATTGCCTACAGATAACAAAATCATACATATATATTCTAATTATGTATGCACAAAATATATGTATAAACATTCCATTATCTCTATATTTTAAGTAAAATATAGCAGACAATAAATACATATTCTATTTTCATGCACATTCTATTTTAATAACCCAATCTTATGTATCATTATGCTATTATCATTATTATATCATTACACTATTATCATTACACTATGCTATTAACTGATTATACTAAGTGTAATTTTATTTTAAACAGCACAAAAAGTATATTAAATTCTATTTTGCTTAGTTATTTATCCTAATTAATATATACTTAATGTTGGAATCTATTCATAAATTTTATACACACAACATACTATACATATATATTTAGGAAATATAGGAATGCAAATTTAGGATATTTAAATATAATATATACATAGGTATCTTAATAGTAAGCTAATTTTTAAATATATTATATACTAATGACCTACATAATAATTGTACATACTCCAAGTCTACTTATGTATATAATATGAAAAGTTTACCATTTTAATTTCATATATATCTTAGTTTCATATGGCACTTAAATTATACACATCCTTATTATATATGCAGTTAGGTGGCCCCGATACAAAATGGGGTGCCTGACTGTGGGTCCTCACCCGCATGCTTAAAAGGACTTATCAATACTCTACTGCAGGCACACGCGAAAGGTTAATAAAAGGTTTATTTACCAGGGAAGGGCGAATGAGGAAATGGACAACTCAGGGAGAAAAGAGGGAGACAAAGTTTTAAATGTGTCCTACCTGATAAGCCGATCTGGAATCCCAAAGGGCACTCTGAGAGCTGGCCGCAAGCCTGGAGCCATGAAGCCAGGAGGCGAGCGAGAGAGCAAGCCCCCGAAGGCCCTCGTGTTTGGTTTTTATACCACACCTGGCAGTTTAACTCCACCCTCAGGTCCCAGCCACCTTCCCTTTGGTGGTGATAGGATTTGTCTTTCCCAATGTCCTGATGGCTGTGGTCTGGAGTGGGGGTGGAGTCCACAAAGCCTGTGTGGAATTAGCTCAGGACATCCTTTCCCCCAAACAAAAGGATTGGGGCAGTAAAGAAAAGGAGAGCCAGGCTAAGTTTCTCACAGGCAAGAAATTTATTGTGCTCACTGGGTGAGATTTGCTGTTGGGGGATAAGGGCAAGTTTTTATAGGGTGGGGCCTGGCCTTTGTGGGAGGTGGAGAATGCAGAGCGGAAGCTGCTTTTCAAAGAAGTTTTTTTTTCTCTCAGAACTGGTTGTTCTTCCAATGCTGCTTATCAGGGCCCGTGCAAACAGGCAGAGCCGGCTCCCTGGATGCAGGTCACAGCTGTTTCAAGTTCCCCCCCTCGGCACCCCATCTCTGCCCAGGCCTCGACCTTACAAGGGCCTTTTGTACACAGGAACTGTGTTCCCTTGGTCCTTTACTGTTGATGTCAAATCAAGAACAAGAAAACAAACACAAACCCAAGCCCAAACAATAGAGGATGCTGAGCCAGGCCTCACAGCTCAGCAAGAGGCTGCACTGCCCCCTGGTGTCGCCTGTGCCATGGAGCTGGTTTGGGCCTGAGCATAGAACCACTCTCCAGAGGGCAATTGTTGACACTAATTTATTGTTTCAACAACACTGATTTATTCAGTAAAACACCTGCCAGTGCCTGAAGGGAACAATGACTCAGGACTCCTCCCACAAGTCAATTCCTCTTATTCATGTTGATATTTCTGTGAAATTCCCACAAGATAGAAGCCCTCAGGAAATATTCAAGGATCCTCTGTTTTCATTGGCCCCTGCTGGTGGAGAGTCAAGGGATGGCCCACAGGCCCAGCAAGGGCTTCTCAAAAATTCTTGGCATGGACTGGCCAGGGTCAATGACGAGGGTCTCCAGAAGAATGCAGGCTCCAGATCCTCCCTGCAACGGCCCCGTAATAAGTTTGTGTGTGTATGCACACACGCACGCACACACACACAAAACACACTCCCACAAGTACAGGCTCCCACAAAGTCCAGGGCCCCTGCTGGGGCCTCTGCCTCCTCACTGGGTCACCAGGCCTAGTGTCCCCAGACTCACAGCCTGCCCCTCTGAGCTGCCCAGTATCATCCCAATTGTGGATTCTTGGTGTGTCCAGGCAGGACAGGAGCCACTCTTGACGAGACGGGCCTGCACACTGTGGTCGGCTTCCCCTGGGGGGCACCTGAGCACTCTGATCCTTTGGAAACATGGACTTTCTGGAGTTTGTGGGCACAGGAACATGAACACTTACTATGCCCCTGTGTGGAGAGGAGTACTTTCCCATGAGAGGTCTGTCCTCCAGCTGTCCACACAGTTCCTGTTTTTGCTGTGGCCACAGGACAAGCAGCTGTGTCTTCTATCACCTGCCCTGAAGCCCCTTGAGCTGTGCATCCACACAACAGTGTGCATCCACACAACAGTGCACATCTCACTCCACGGGCTTCCCCTCAACATCTCCTGGTGGAACCAATCAGATTTCCCTCTCTAAGAACAAATCCCCTATTGCATAGAAAGGGAACCCACAATGAATGTCTTTGTCTGAAAATAGCTGGGCAGATCTTAAAGTCACCCCTTACACAGTTCCATCCTAGGAAACCCCAGGCAGGAGTAGGAATAGAGGCAGCAGGCAGTTGAGGGCAGCAGGGGCTGTGGGGGACTGGGCAGAAAGTGGTTTGGCCACAGGGTCCCACTGGGGACATCATCTTCTGCAAGTAGGTAGTGAGAAGGTAGTGTGAAGGCACTGGATGCCAAGGAGTGGACAACTCAGCTAAAATGAACACAAACTTTATTAACATTAACACAATAAACAAAACTTATAGGAAATAAAATCGAAACTGTACTTGAAATAAATTAGAATCAAAAATTAAGAACTATAAGAGAAGGGCTGGGCTGCTGCAGGATGCCTTGATGCCCCAGCCAGATAAGACACTGGCAAGCAGCGAAGGTAAAGGGCCTCACACCGTGGGGCTGAAGATTCCTTGTGCCTCACACCGTGGGGCTGAAGATCTAACATTCCTTCATTTTTTTGTTCTTGGTCATAAAGAGAGACAAAATTTCCCAAAAAAGTATGTTAGGCTATCAATTATATGTATCAGCAGACTGTAAGCAATTGGCATGGAAAATTACCTGTTTAGAAATTAGTTACTACACAATTCGGCCCAATTAACAAAGGGAGACAATTTATTGTATACATCTGACAAGCAATCCAGCATAACAATTATAGTAAATCCTTCTTTTGTTTATCCAGAAGTTTCCTTTTTATTTAGAAGTTTCTTAGGAAAGTTTTTAAACGGAGTTAACTGTGTTAAGAAGTTTGTAGGTAGAAAAAATTCAGATAGCTGAGTAGCAGCTGGTCTCTGACTGAAGGCCATGTGAATGAAATAGTCTTTTGATGCTTAGGCTTTAGCTGATAGGGATGCACTGGCGACTATCCACTGTCTTAGATAATTGTCTAGCTGAAATAATAAGTTTTAGTGTTAGGTCTGGATTTTTATCTATTAACCTTGAAGGCTACCGTCTAGCTGGGACCCGTAGGAGCCAGTAGTCCATGGGAATAAAATACACTCATTGTTTCTGCTTTACACATGACAATGTATTTTTTTCTGCTTACTAAAAATGAATGAATAAAGACCTGCTGAGTCTCTCGGCAGAAGATACTAGCACCTCACCAAGTGTCAGTGTCTCCTCATTCTTCCTCATCCCCTTCCCCTCAGCCCCTGAGTTTCAGTCGCTTAACAAGTTGCCAAGGCCGTCTCATCCTTTCAGGAACCCCTGGCACGACATTTTGCCGGAGGCTGGTCCCCGGCACTGGGTCTTTGTTGGTAGAGGCGAGTTTGAAGATCAACAAAGGCGTGTGGCTGGGAGGTGGTTGAGGAAGGGTTTGGGAAGCAGTGGCATTGAGTTGTCAGCTTCTCCCGGAGGGGGCACAGGCAGGATGTGGGGCAAAGGGTTGGGTCCTTTGAGGGGTAGTGTCAGGGGAGCCCCCTCTGGTTTTCCTGCAGGATCCCTGCAGTGGCTGCTTCCCTAGACAGGGCTGTTGTGAGGTTACACCTTCTTGTCTAACCTGAGGGATGTTGCCCAGGGCCAGGTTGCTCCCTCAGGGCTGGTCTGAGCTTAGCATGTCCTGTGCTCTGGGGCCAGGGCCTGCCCCCCCCCACTACTGGGGTACTATCTTCTCTGCAGCCTCAGGACATCCAGCAGGAGGTGGGTCTGGATCTAACTCCCCCAGCAGGGGTGGGGTGAGCTCATCCCCAGCAGGCTCTCCTGAGTCTTCCAGGCCCTGGCCTGGCTCTGCCTGCTGTGGTGGTGTCATTGTGGCAGCCTCAGGACATCCAATGAGAGGTGGGTCTGGGTCTGCCTCCCCCAGCAAGGGTGGGGTGAGCTCACCCCCAGCAGGCTGTCCTGAGTCTTCATTACCCTGGCCTGCTTCCCCCAGTAGAGGTGCTATGAATACAGCTGTCTGGGGTCCTCCTTCAGGACAGTGGTCAGTGTCAAGCTGACCCTTTAGCGGTAGAGTGAGCTCCAGGTCCTCAGGAGGACCTACAGCATCCTGAATGGTTTTTGACAGCCCCAGCTCGCCTGCTGGGGGTGCATGTCCCTGAGGAACAGCATATAAAAAAGCTGATTCTCCAGTCTCTTCTGCACCTTTGCTGTTGGTTTCTGTTGAATCACTGGTTTGGCTTGGCTCCTGGACTGTCGGAAGACATTCAGAGGAGTCCGACTGCTCTGTTTGACACGGAGCTGGAGAAGCAACAGAAGAAACCATCAGCTACACGCCAGACTGCTACATACCTTTGCAAACAGACCACATGCACAGCCCTGAGGCCAGTCCAGCCCAGCCCAGTGGCCCCCAGGCATTTGTCAACTAAATCTGGCAGCTAGAGGTTCTAGAACTGACAGCTGCTGGGGCTTATCCAGCCTGTGCGGCCTCCTCCCAGGGGGATATGTACCTCCCCCACCCAGCTGGGCCTGGGCACCCCCTTCTGGGCTACTCACTCTCTTGCAGCTCCTCCACAGTGTCCAGGTCGTGCTGGCAAGACTTGTGGACCTGGGCCAGAGTCTGAAAGCTGTGGCTCCCTTTCGTGTGGTCCTTGGGTCTGAAAAAAGAACCTTTCCCGGTATTTGGGAGGTGAGTAGTTATGTTTTATCAGCATATCTTGAATTTGCACGTCAGAGACCACCTCCTAGAAATAAACCTACAAATACCTGTAAGGTGGGAGCCAGATGCGGCAAGATGGAGCAGCTGTGGCTCTTGGGGCATCCCACCAGCCAGGAAGTTCCTGGGTGTGACCTTGATCCACATCCTGGGTGGGCCAGCCCCTCCCCACATGAGCACACACACACTCACTCACACAGACCCCCTCCGACCCCACAACACAAGCACAAACAGGGTCTAGGCTGGGTCGGGGGTATCAGAGTGGTGGCATGGCCTGGCCTGTTCAGGACTCCCCTGGTTACCTTGGGAGAAACTCTGACTAAAGTCTTGCAACATCGACACAGCTTCCTAAAGCATTTTAGGAAAGCATGCCACAAGTTTCTTTGGCCTTTTTTTGAACCACTGTCAGTGGATCTGGGCCAACAACAACAGCAGCAAGACATCTTGTCTCGTCATAGACCTCAAGACAAATGAGCTGGGTTGGGTTTGTCATCAGAACCTGGTGACCAGGTTCCAAGTTCTGTGGGGTGTCATGGCAGGGAAGTGATGTCACTATCAAGGGCTCCCTTCCCTGGACTTCCTGCTCAGATAAGAACCCCCCACCCCCCGCCGTCCATGGCTGCTTCCTTTTCCCCCTCCATGTCAAGCCCAGTCCACACCACTGACACCAGCACAGCCTCCTGAAGCCCTTGGATGGTCAGGTGTAGCCAGAGCCCAGCTGGAACACAGGTCACTAGCTGCTGACTTGGCTACTCCTAAGCAAGGAGGAGACCATTGTGCATCCTTTGCTCTAGGTCCCTGTTTCCCACGGCTCCAGTTGGGCAGTGTAGAGCCACAAGCTAGGGAGGACCTGGGGTTGGCCCAATCACCCTGCTGTCCTTGGAGGGGAGGCTGGTGTCTTCTGGGACTCAGACTCACGCTGACATGGAGGGATGATAAGTCCCAAGGGATGGCTTTTCCACTCCTAGAGTGAGTGATGATTGGAAGGTGGCCTATGTCAATCATCCTTTTCTGAGTCTCATTCTCTAAATCTCCCATTCTGTCCTTGTAACTTTATTATAACTCTTACAGGGCAGGGAGAGGGGCACCCCAGAACCCCCAAGTCTGCCTGCTTTAAATAGGATCTGCCATCTGCCACATTAAGACAAAACATGTAAGACCTTTAATATTAAAAACTTTAATACAATGAGTGTGCAATACAGAATAGACAATGAATATAGTCTCTAAATCAAGCACCTGAAGTTACGCATCCCCTCGTTTGTAAATGTCCTGCCAAACAGGGTGGCCCAAAGCAGGGCCACTGAAGCCCAAAAGCCTGCCACAAATCCAAAGCACTTTCTAGAAGATACCCACAGAAAAAGGTCAGAAACTGCCAGACAAGTCTGGGAGGAAAAAACAAAATCAAAATCAAAACCAAGATAAACACTGCCATTGTTAACCTACCCAGAGCCTGTTTTTCATAGATTAGGAAGATCAGAAATTAGATGCTAGTTGCAAAAAAGTGTGAGTAAACTCATTGTTGACCTGTGTCTTAGCACCATAAAGTTGATTTCAGGCTTAGTCAGTTTTCAAAAAAGGCAGTTTCCTATAATATTTAAAAGTTTACTTGATATAAAGTGTGGGGAAATATTGACTAGTAACCCTGAGACCATTAGTTTGTGTTGAAAGGAAGTACAGTTGTTAGAATATGTATTTTAGAGAGTAGAGTTTGTCATTTAAAGTTGTAAACTATGCTTGTCACCAATAATGGAATGGCCCAAACAATAGGGTCATCCTTGGGATCCTTCACTCTTGGCTGGGACCTCTTGATCTTACTGTGATTAATCAGTGTATGAAAATTGAGCATTCTTGGAAGAGAAGGGGATTATTCCTCTTCACACATTCTATCCAATTAAATGTTAAAAACTTGCCTTTAGCAGATAAAGACACAAAGCAAATCCTTTGTCCCACAACAGGTTTGCCTCTGTTTACCTGCACTGGATGAAGTTGGGTAACTGAATTATGATATTCTGGGTAAAGTTTGAATAGGATCACATCCTATGGATGACCCAATGCAGTCCACACTTTGACAGTACAAAGCCTAACTATGTTTTTTTTTTCTTTTTGTTTGTTTTCTCCCTTGTCTTTTTTTTTCAATTTTTGAGTTCTGTTTAACTTTTTATTACAAAAAATCTCACATTTTTTAATAAACTGAAAGACTAGTACGATGAGCATACTGCCCCACCACCAAGTGCCAACCATTTAATCAATCCAAACTTTATGAAGCACAGTATTTTTTTATTGCCCAAAATTTTATTTTAAATTTTTTGGGTTACATTTTTGCTCTTCCATATGTGCTCATGTTCCACTTGCCCTCCACCAAAATACCTGTGCCCACACCCCATCTGCCTCCTTCCCCTACCATTCTCTTTTCTGTCCTTTGTTGTGGGTGCAGAATTCTTGTTTCTCCAGAGAACACAGCTTTTGATATGACTCTTGAATTCTAAAAGGTCAATTCAGTGCCCCTGCCAGCTAGAATCTGTTGATTGTTGGGTTGTTCTCCACCTCTGGGAATGCGGTGTCAGTGGGTGAGATGGAGGGGTAGTTTAAAAATCCTTGCTGCCTTCCTTGCTGGCCCCAAATGAGGAAGACCTTTATGTCTCTGGTTTTGTAGGGGGTAGGGTAGGGAACAACACTGTGATCCTACATATATCTTCAGATCTCAAGGAATTTGAGAGGGAGATGAATTTAATGTTACCAATGGAAGCTAATCTGTCCACTAATAAGCACCTTCTTCTAGAGAGGTCTAATATGGATTCATGGAGTTGACAATTAGGCTTTTCTTAAATTGTATCATTGCTGCTGGCATCTAATCTCCCAAAGACCCCACAAGATATTTTAAATTACAGATTGAATTTAGTCCATCATTTCCTTGTTTGCCGTTTGTTACCCACAAAAGGTTTGTGCAACTGATGGCTTACAGCTGATACTCTGGTAACCAGAAAACCTGGTTTTCATACTGCTCTAATTGAATACACTCAGTTACAAATTTGTTACTAGCATAGCCTGATTCATTCTGTTAGGTGTGAAGAAATGTCTTCAAAATTTAGAGCACTAGATCTCTAACCATGTTTCAGGAATTCCTGAGTTTGGCACCAAATGTTTTCTTACCGGCTCGAATACAACTCTTCCCTAGCTCATCAACAATCCCTTCCCTTTTGAAATCACTGTGAATGCCATCTTATGTGTAAAGTTCCAGGCTTTTATCGGGTCACAATAGTATTACATCAGTTGTTAAATACCATCATTTCAGTTTCTTTCCTCGCCTGCTTTCCTGGGAATCTTCCTCTGACCCTCTGCCATCTGTTCTCCCATCAGTGAAGGTGAAAGTGGAGACACTCTTATTTGAGTAGGTTTTTGACTAAAAAAACAAGAGAACATAAAAAGTAGTTGATGTCATCAGTTACTCAAGAAAATGGATGTTAAAAAAAAAAAAAGACTGTTAATTGCTTATGTGTCCCTTGGGCAAATCACATCACTATTTGGACTACATTTTCCCTGCAAAATAATGAGGTTTGACTAAATGATGCTTAAGAGCCTTTCTAAGGCTAAATTATGTGAATGTACAAACATTTGCTGCAGCCGTGTGTGCTGTTTGGCTCTAGAAATTCCTGGTAGCAAAAGAAAGTAGGAGAAGATGTTGAATTATATGTGTTCATTATCTGACAGAAATAAAGGACAACTTGCATCTGGACAGATGGAATAAAGTTCAAGTACAAAGGCACCACAGAGAACACGGGGACACGTTTTAAATTGTATTTGTGCAAAGTCTTAATGATGATCCTGAGTTATAAGTGATCAAAAATCAAATTGAGCTAGCTTAGGTAAGGTTAAAAAAAGGTGGTTAAGAGCACACATTTGGATGTCTTCTGGGATTTCTCCTTTTTATTATTAAGGGATTTGACACTAAGTTGCAGGTGTCCAACTGATTCCTCGACATCTGTATATAACCACCACACCATTCACCAAAATGCCCTCCCCCAGATGTCATCATTGCTTTTCTCTGTGTTTTGGGGGGTCAGGTTGGCCCAAAAATCCCCACAATCCATGGAAACCATGGCAACCAGAAACTTCAGCATGCTACTTTTAAAGCTTCATTACCAGAGATGTTAGAAAAGAAAACTGCAGGAAGGATTTTCATTGGCTGTGCTTGGGTCATATGCTGAATTTTGGACCAAAAGTGTGGGGACCATTTCCATGGTCCAGGATCCACTGGAGCTAAGAATGGAGTGATAGTTTTCCATAAGGAGGAATTCCAGACAGGAAAAGAGTAAATGGCTGTTTCACCTTATCATGCTTGTACCTTTTACCCCTCCTACTCCAGGTTCTGATCTACCATGTAAATTTGCCATTCTCAAAATTCCAAGATGCCCCTAAACTTCTAGGTCATTTATAAAATTGTAGCTTAGCTCCTGCCTGCAGTTTACCGGCCAGTCTTCTTGTCTCTAAGTGTTTTCCCTGACAATGACTGGAAACCCTGATAAATTAATCTGGCTACAAATTGTCCAGAGGTGATAATGTCCATTTGATAGAAACTACCAGGGAGATACTTGCTGTCCTGCAAAGTGAGGCTAACTTGCTGAGTTAGGGACCACACACTGCAGATAGGATGGGGTTCTTCACCAAAGGAAGACACACACTTGTTATAGTGTTTTGGGGGAGGAACGGTGTTTAGGTCAAATTTCAACTTTGCTCAAAGCAAAGCAGGCCCATTTATAATGGGATGGACATCAGGATTGGACTGAGAGGGGAACTCAGGATCCTGTTTCCTTAGAAACTGCAAAGTTAAGATAAATGTGGAAAGCTGTGTGCAAGACCCTTCTGTGAAACTCTGCCTGAGCTGGAAGTTGAGGTTGTTTTTCTCCATTAAAATGACTTAGATCCTGCAAGCCAGAAAGAGGGGTTTCATTCTCAGTAAACGTGATTTTAAATAGCAAAGTTTCTGACGATCTTATTTTACAGAACCAGTTTTTTCCTGCCCTTGGTGAATTAAAAAGGTGTGTTTTGTTTGCAGTTGCAAAGAAAAGATTCTTCCTTTCCTACTCCTCAGATATCTACTTAGGTCTTTCTTGAAATAATAGCCTGGCTTATGTAGTCAAATAAGAAGGAGGAGAGAGCCCAAATGAGTATGTAGTACCCTCCACAGAAGTAGGCCTACTATTGGAGTGATTGTTTGCCATTTACAACCACTCAGCAAATATTTGTTTAGATCCTATTACGTGCTTATTAT